TATATATATATATATATATATATATATATATATATATATATACATATATATATATATGTATATATATACATATACATATATATATATATGTATATATATATATATATGTATATATATACATATACATATACATATATATATACATATATATATATATATATATTATATATGAAGTGTCACACGGATAATTGAAAGACTACAACTCAAGTATAGAGATCACTCACTGCCTCTTATGTTTACTGAGGTTTTTCTCTGTTGGTTCTTCCTCTACGACATATGTTGGTATATATTTGACATAACCTCAACCCCTCTCCACTGTCAAGGAAAAGGATTAGATCAAGCACAGTAGCTCCTCAGGAAACAAGGGATGAGGATGATGGCAGGAAATTTCTAATCATACTGCTGTTTGAGGGTCAAATCTGATAGAGTAGCGATATCAATCTGGTTGATAGCTACCAAAAACAATCTCTGCAAGTGCCATCAAGTCAACGTCTAAATCCACCAAATAAAAAGGTTCCAGTTTTAATGGTGCCTTTTGTTTATAGCCACCATTCGAGGGTCAAATCAGATACAGTATTGACATCAATCAGGTTGATAGCTGACCAACAAAAAATCTTCCTAAGTGCGCAGAGTCAACACCTAAATCCTCCAAATAAAAAGTGTGTTTTGTGTATCAATAAGTACTGAAGTCACGGTTGAATGCAGGATAAGAGTACTTGTGATAGAAGTAAAAGGAAAGGAGACTGCCACTAGTTGGGTCCGATGCATACATAGGCTCAGCAAGGTTAATGTTAGATTGCACACAGAGGCCTAATGGCATTTATTGCCCTCCTAAAGTGACAGAAAAATAACTGTTTCCGAACCAACCTGACTTAGGTCCTCTTCATCGAACCAAATCGATCCGCAACTTAGACTCAATGAAACCGAACCAGGTTTCATCGAGACCGGACGAAGGTCTTCTCCCAGCCCGATCGATGGGATGCGCCTCAACCGGCGTCGCGTCCTCGATCGGACAACCCTTCACCGATCAAATGATTGTAGAGATTTGGATCTGATTAGTACGCATTCATTGAAATTGCATCTACGGAGATTCATAATTCGTAATACCAAAGCCTGATTCTAATATAGCCACATTCTAAGATTACTGAAGCAGATTTAGCGCAAAGAGGCAAATCGAGCCCCCGTTCTTCCCTCTGTGCATCACAAGAAAGAAGTGAAACGGTAGGAAACGAAACCCCAAGGAAGAAAGGCGCATCAAGCCCTCTCCCCGCGGATCCTGCGCGCGAGCTGGATGTCCTTGGGCATGATGGTCACCCTCTTGGCGTGGATCGCGCAGAGATTGGTATCCTCGAAGAGGCCGACGAGGTAGGCCTCCGCCGCCTCCTGGAGGGCCGACACGGCGGAGCTTTGGAACCGGAGGTCCGTCTTGAAGTCTTGCGCGATCTCCCGCACCAGCCTCTGGAAAGGCAGCTTCCGGATGAGGAGCTCCGTGCTCTTCTGGTACTTGCGGATCTCCCTTAAGGCCACCGTCCCGGGGCGAAAACGATGGGGCTTCTTCACGCCGCCGGTCGCGGGCGCCGACTTCCTCGCCGCCTTCGTCGCCAGTTGCTTCCTCGGTGCCTTCCCGCCGGTGGACTTGCGAGCGGTCTGTTTCGTTCTCGCCATCTGGAGATCGGGGTCGAGTGAGGAAAATTTGGGGATTTCGAGATCGGAACTTTGGGATTGGAATGGGAGAAGGACATGAGATTTGGGTCATTTTATAGGCGGAGGGGGAAGAAGTGGCGGGACTGGGGCAATTAATTGGGGGTTCGAAAAAAAGTTCGAACGAGAAATTACGCTTCCCCGCGTAGAATTTGGGGCGTTCGATCGGACTCGATGAACGGCAAAGATGATGCACAGTGGGAATACGCGGATCGCGATCCCTGGCTCTTCCTATCACTTATCAGAAACATTGTTTATCACACGTGTAGGTCTCACAACAACCTGATTCGAACGACCAGATGTGGCGGATCTGTTTCAGCGACTTTTTTTTCTTTAATTTTAACTCGTTTACATTTGTGCATTTTAAATTAATAAAAAACCTTGAGTTTTTATCCAATGACATCCATTAATTAAATTTTACTTGACGTCCTTTTTTTTTTCACCTTGATAAAAATATCTCTTTATCACCACTCTCACTCTCAATCGTCATGTTGTCTTTTCTTTTATCTTCTAATTTTATTGGTACCATCTCAGTCTCTATTAATTATTGTCGTCAACGATGTCATCCCCTCCTTCACGATCTCCAATATCGTCTCTAGAAATCACTATCACCATTAGCAAGTAAGGATTGATGATAATAATGAAACCAGAACGGGAATTAGAGATAGTAATATGCTAACGAACAGAGTGAGGGTGATGATAGATGGTTATACGTAAAAATATATATATATATGGTATTAAGAAAAAGTTTAATAATAATTTTTTTAAAAGATAAAAATGCCCAGAAACATTTTGTTTCAATTTAATGTACAAAGCCATATCAAATGAAATGCGAAAAATAAGGGTCAAAGTTTGACGTGAATTCCATCTACTGCTTAAAATTGGTGGATCGGAGTTACCAGAAATATAATTAAGAGTAGGAAAATAGATATACGAATCAAATCTAAGAATTTGAATATTTAGTAGTTTATTAATGGAACTAAATTAGTATTTACTATTAACGAAGGAGATAATTATGATAAGACTCACGTTACATTAGTTGACGCCCCACGACTCTGTCGGGCTGACAACACCTGGCAAACATGGGTCGAAACACCAACCGAGGCCTATTAACGACTCCTCAGGCTCTATCCCTCACGCCACGCCAACAGTGATGTCAGACGCCGTCAGAGGTATGATCCTGCTCCCTGCGGGCAAGCACACCTGGTAACACCAAACTTTCCTATAAATACCCCCGCGTTCTAAACAAGAAGGGAGAGAACAAAACCTCATGCGACTATTCACTAACTTGATCGTCGGAGTGACCGGGTCAAGCACCTCGACCCGGCCTGTTCGCAGGAACGAAGGCGAGGCGATTCTCTCCGGACCCACGAGGGGAGGAGCCCCTTCCAGGAGGAAACGGCAACCCACCTCCACGACTGAACCAACCGGGCCAGCGTCCTCAGTAGTTTCGAGAAACCCCCTTTGGAGATCCCCCACCATCCGGACTCGAACCGAACCGCGTCGACCTCGAAGCCACGGCTCAAGGTAGTTCACACAAACAACTATATTTATTTCCATTGTTTAGCCACAAGAACACGATCCATGGGCTCAAGTCCCAGCATTGACCGGGATATATGTCGTCGACCAACTGTGTGTCAACCAGAATCAAGTGCTCGAAGGGGAGTCGTGGAAGACACCTGCCCGCTTAAATCCTTACACCAACTGCACATCAATTCATGGACTCATGAAGACGAAATCACAGACCGCTTCACTTCACACTGTGATACGCACATCTGACTACTAGTGAACTGCGTGATCGCCGTCCGAAGCGGCGCTGCACTTGCCGAACAGGCTCCGCCGGCACGTCGGGCACGAGAGCCGGGACGCCAGCCAACGATCAATGCAGTGGACGTGGAAGCCGTGGTTGCAGCCGGGTAGCACGCGGACGCGCTCGCCGGGCGCGAACTCCGACAGGCATATCGCGCACTCCGACCCCCCGACCGGCTCGCCCAAGTACACGATCAGGCCGGAGCCCGCGGTGGCGGCCTGTTCCTCCTTGACGCGAGCGGCTGCCGCTGCCACCGGGAGGTCGGCAAGACACGGCCGGGCAGCGTGCGGTTCCAGCCACGCCCACCGCGCGACGCGGAGCACGCACCGGACGACGAAGCTCGCGACGACGACGCCGATAAGCGCGCAGAGGACGACGGCCAGGATCATGATCACGTCGGCGTCGTAAGAGCTGCGCCCCCGCGAGTTCGGCGAGGCCACGGGTGCCAACTCATCAAGCAACAGCAGCCTCCGGCCGCGTTGTGGAGCAGCGGGAAGAGTGGAAGACAGCATTATCGTGCTAAGAAGCTCTCTTCCAAACGCAGGGCTGGAATCTGCACTTAAAGACGGGATTCCGATGAGGTGTTCTCCAGGCTTTACATCGAGCAAGGACAGACGAGGCTTGCACTCGCACAAGCTAATTGGATACAGGAAAAGACCAGCGCAGCAACTCCAAACAAGAAGACACTCGAAGCCACCATAAATCATGGATTTGGAGCCTCCACTTAGAGTTTAATATTCATCGAGGAGAGGGATGCATCACTGCACTCGGAGAAATGGGGATCCGACGACGCTGACTTGTCTACTCGTGAGTAGATCACATCGCGCCGCAAGGCAATGGGAGGCGTGGGTGATGGAGTTGGAGTGGTGTGGTTAGGGTGGGTGGAAGGATGCCGTCCCTTTCCGGATACTAATATATGATGCCGTCTGGAATTATTATATGCAATCATGCATATAAAGATTGTGTTATTTAAAAGCAAATATATATATATATATATATATTGTTATTTAAAAGCTTAAAAACTTGTATATGTGTTAGCTAAAAATTAAATATATACAAATGCTTTTAAAGAAATTAAACAAACTAATAGAAATCATGATTAGGCATGGATTATCTAAATTTTTTTATGTATGTTAATGAGTGGTACGAAGGATCTTAATATTCGAATGA